CTCTAGTCGCTTAACCTACAGGTGCCGAGCCAATTCAATTTTACTATCTCTAATTAAAAAGTTTGGGGGTGGGGGGAAGTTTAGAAGAAAAAGCTACCTCTAAGGATAAGAAGATAAAAAGCATTTGAGGCCCTATTTTACTGAGTTGTCCTTAAACCACAAACGGTTTTTCTGAATTTAAAAATAGAAAATCAGGAATACATCAAAATTAAGTAACTCCTTACATTGTAATGGTGAGAAACAAACCGTTTCTATGCAGTAACTTTGTATCAACTTTTTAAAAAGCACAAAAATGCAATTTATTTATGTTCCTAAAAACATTTAACAATATGGCATATGGCACCTCTGAATGTTTACTTTCAAGTTAAGTGAATATGATGCTTAAAATAGCTGCATGAATTGTCAAATTCTTTCTCCTATTTAATTATTACCTATTGGAAGGAGGTGGCTGCTGTACCTGAGGACCACGTGTTGCTTGAGTAACCGGTACTTTGGAGAGCCCCAGCATTTCCTATAAAGAGATTATTTGGGTGACACATATTATTTCTACAAAGATTTAACAACTATTTCCTATGTATAAGGTGCTGCACTAGACAGTAGGAACACAAAACTAGAGAGCATAGGTTTCTTTCTTCAGAAAGCAAACAGGCCAGTAGGGGAGACTGTTAGGACAATGATAAGAACACAGTAAAATAAGTACCATGAAAGAGCAAAGTACAGGTGTTATGTAAGTAAAGAGAAAGGTTGGTCAGAGTAGCTCACACCTGCAATCCCAGCACTTTGGGAGGCCAAGACAGGGGGACTACTAGAAATAGAAAAATTTAGCAAGACATTGCAGTAGGTCCCTGTAGTCCCAACTGCTCAAGAGGCTAAGGCAGGAGGATCTCTCGAACCCAGGAGTTTGAAGTTGCTGTAAGCTAAGCTGAGGCCAAGGCACTCTAGCTGAGGCAACAGAGTAAGACTCTGCCTCAAAAAATAAAAATAAAAGGAGAAAGAATACTAGCTCAGAGAGGACACCTATGGCTCAATAGTTAGGGTGCTGGCTACATGATCCAGGACTGGGGGGTTCAAACCCCACCGGGGGCTACTAAACAACAACAAAAAAAATACCCGGGCATTGTGGCAGGCACCTGTAGTCCCAGCTATCAGGGAAGCTGAGGCAAGAGAATCGCTTGAATCCTAGAGTTTGAGGTGGCTGTGAGCTGTAACACCATAGCACTCTACCTAGGATGACAAAGTGACACTACATTCTCAATAAAAAAAAAAATACTAGCTCAAAAATACTTTATTCCTAATTGTCAAAATAAGTTATTGTATAACTTAAATGTTCATACTTTTTTTTTTGAGACAAAGTTTTATTGCCCCAAATAGAGCACAGTAGTGTCATCATAGCTCACAGCAACCTCAACCTCCTGGGTTCAAGTAATCTTCTTGCCTCAGACCTCCTCCTAGTAGCTGGGACTACAGGTCTACCACATCCAGCTAAATTTTTCTGTTTGGGTAGAGAGAGGGTCTTGCTCATGCTTAGGCTGGTCTTGAACTCCTGGCCTCAAGCAATCCTCCAGCTAAGCCTCTGAGAGTGTTAGGATTACAGGCGTGAGCCACTGCAACTGGCCTTACTCACCCTCTTCAGTTTCTTTCCTTTTTTTTTGAGACAGAGTCTCACTATTTCACCCTCAAACTCTTGGGCTTAATCTACTCTCTTGCCTCAGCCTCCCAAGTAGCTAGGACTATAGGCGCCCGGCACAACGCCCAGCTCTTTTTTAGAGACTAGGTCTTGCTCTTGCTCAGGCTGGTCTCAAACTTGTGAGTTCAGGCAACCCTCCAGCCTCAGCCTCCCAAGTGCTGGGGTCCCAAAGGCGTGAGCCACCGTGCCTGGCTCTTTCCCTTCTATATATAAACTCCCTCAAGCGTCCTTCCCCCTATAGCATCTCTAACTCAGTTCTCTCTCAAACTCCCATAGTATCTTCTTTACCTTCAACAGCAAATATCTTTTTTTTTTTTTTTTTTTTTGAGA